ACATGTATATACATTTATATATTTATATTCTTATATATAAATATATTTAATATATAAACGTAACATATTTTTCTTAAATATATACATGCATGTGTGTGTATTTATATATACATAATAAATATACACAGTATACACACATATATTATGTAAAGAAAAACTTATTTTAGATGCGATTAAGCGTGTGACAGCACTAGTTTTTATTTTAGTTGTAGTTTAATTTTAATAATTTTGAAGTGTGCTTTTATCTTTTTTTACTCATTTTTTTAATTCATTTTTTAAATGGTTTTAATTTGTTTTAAGTTTCAGTTAGTCATTTAAAGTAATTTTAACTTGCATCAGTTAGTTGCCATTATAACGCATCCAAAATTTTATTTGATAAGGTTTAATATTTTTTTTATTTAGCTTTAATTTATATTTATTTCAATTTTAGTTTTAGCAATTTTAATACTTCAAATTAAGCTTATTTTTATTTCAGTTAGTTGCCAAGCAACATTTCCAATTTTTTTTTCAGGTTTTCAGGTTTTTCATTTAATGTTTATATTTTATTTTATTTCAGATTTAATGTTTATATTTTATTTTATTTCAGATTTATTATTTAAAATGTAACTGTTTTAGTTTTAGCTACTTGAAGTGTGCTTTTATCTTTTTTTACTCATTTTTTTAATTCATTTTTTAAATGGTTTTAATTTGTTTTAAGTTTCAGTTAGTCATTTAAAGTAATTTTAACTTGCATCAGTTAGTTGCCATTATAACGCATCCAAAATTGTATTTTATAAGGTTTAATATTTTTTTTATGTAGCTTTAATTTATATTTATTTCAATTTTAGTTTTAGCAATTTTAGTACTGCAACTTAAGCTTATTTTATTTCAGTTTTTCATTTTTTTAAGTTTTTCATTTAATGTCTATATTTTATTTTATTTCAGATTTAATGTTTATATTTTATTTTATTTCAGATTTATTATTTAAAATGTAACTGTTTTAGTTTTAGCTACCTCTACAGCAAAATATATATATTTTTAAACATTTTTCAAAATATACAAAAATGGCCAAAAAATTATATTTGCTAAAATGTTTCAAAATATATTTATGTAAATATATTTTCTACCAATACATTAAAAAATATATATATTTTAATAATATAAATATTTTTTAAAAGCATATATTTTGCCTTCCGTATATTTCAAAAATACTTTCACCTATGTCCCATTTGAAGAAAAACTTTTTGTTATCTATAGCACATGCAAACACGTAATAATATAAATATTTTTTAAAAGCATATATTTTGCCTTCCGTATATTTCAAAAATACATTCACCTATGTCCCATTTGAAGAAAAACTTTTTGTTATCTAAAGCATATGCGAACACATTTGAATAAAAATAAGTTATGAATCAAGCCTAAATGTAGGCTACTGTAAGATTGTAAATGTATTTTCTTTCCCCTGAAATATTTTTTGGAATATATTTTGGTTGGTGAAAGTTGAAAGTAAATATATTTTCAATTTCAAAAACATATTTCGATAAACTTCACTGTTTGCCGCATATATGTAGCATGTATTTATATAAATATATTTTGGCCAGAAAAATATAATTTTTTTGCTGTATGGGTAATAACAACACTGATAAGAGAATGATTTGGAATGCAAGCTCACAGGAAGCTCCACCCTTAACTGACGTTAGTATGATGCAAAACAAAAAAAACTTTTGCAATGCATTCTGGGATTGCCTTCTCCACTGAAAACAGGTGCAATGCTATTCATTTGGTGTCAAATGAATAATGCATAATGTTGCCTCCTTTTGGAGCAGCTTATGTGTTGAAAACGTCTATGATTTCTGAAAATGCTCTCTTTGTAGGCCGTGCACTAGTTTTTGGAGCAGAGCTCTCGTGTTCGAGCTCGTATGTTTAACAGATGAGGGTTTATCAGGCCTCTCAGCAGAAGCTGATTGTGACATGGAAAAACAAACAGAGGCTGAACACTTGCATAATTTCCCATATGGCCCTGCGGCAGAGTCAACATGCTGCTTCTGTCCCTTGTGCACTTAATGACCGGTGTCTCCTAAATAGTGCAGAACGGTTTTCAGATATTTTTAGCAATTTGTTTTCTAGATCATCACAACTAATGAGGCCAGGAGACAGTCGGATGTTCAGAGCTGGTATCTGATCTGATTTACAGATATGCTGCTGTCCAACGAAGAAAAGAGCAAAGCTCCGCCCATGTTCCTCTGCTTTAAGGTGGGGAAGCCAATGAGGAAGTCCTTCGCCGCTGGTCGGACATCTAGCCCCGCCCACTCGTACGTTGGCAGAGGGCGGCAACCAGAATATTGGTTTGCTGTGCCTCAAGAGAGGTATGAAGGGGTTCCTACTAGGGATGTTCATTTTGGTTATTTCTCCTAAACGCTTGTTAACCGATTATTAACCGTTAAACGACAAGATTATTTTAAATTAGTGCTGTCAAATGATTAATCGCGAATAATCGCATCCAAAATAAAAGTTTTTGTTTACATAATAAATATACACAGTCCACATACATATATAATGTATATGTAAATACACACACATACAGTATATATTTTGAAAATATTTACGTTTATACATTTATATATTCATATTCTTATATTATATATAAATATATTTAATATACAAACAAACATATTTTACTATATATATATATATATATATATATATATATATATATACATGCATGTTATGTATTTATATATACATAATAAATATACACAGTATACACACACATATTATATAAACAAAAATGTTTATTTTGGATGTGATTAATCGCGATTAATCGTTTGACAGCACTAATTTAAATTAGAACTGAAATAAATTAGAAAGGATAAGTGTCTTGTGGCCTGTTAAAAATACCAAAATTTGTTTTCCAGGGATTAATTTTACATGTGCAAAAAGCAGCAAACAACAGAACATGAGGATTTATTTGGTCACTCTACATCACGCACTTGCAGTGCTTCTGCGAGTGGGATAAAACATAATAAAGCTAGGCTATATATAATGAATAAATAGGCCTATACAAGATATATATTTTTACTTAATAAATTAACAAAATGAAAGAAAGAAACGGTTCATTTTTGTGCTGCGCGAAGGGAAACCAATAAAGCGGCGTCCTATTTTTCTTTATTTTACAAAAGCACAAAGATTTTGTTTTTATTATTAATGTACACAAATAAATGCAAACCTTTTACAGTTTTGATTAGAAGGAGTAGTTGTTTCCACTATAGGAAGGAAAAAATTTAAGTGACGAGCACACAGTTAAGCGTTGCTAACTTGACAATGCAGTCTGTTCGTTATCAAAATAAAATACAGTCAGCCAAACATATAGAAAAAACACACTGCTGCTCAGTTTAAATAATCTGTGCTGTTAAAGGGGTCATATGATGCTGCTAAAAAGAACATTATTTTGTGTATTTGGTGTAATGAAATG